AAGAAAAGAAAATTGGAGTTGGAATTGGATCTGTGTATCCTGTAGTCTAAGTCAAGAGACTGGACATCCTGTCAAAAAAAAAAAAAAAAAAAAAAAAGCACTTTATGGACCTATCACCCCAACCCAAGATACAATACTCTCGAGGGGGAGGAAAGGCCCCAACCTCTTGACTTCTCTATTCCTACAGTGCTGTGGACTGAACCCAAGGCCTTAGACACACTAGGTAAGCTATATCATCCTTAACAGAGACAGATGGCCTGTCTAGTCTACACTGAGAGTTTCAGAACAGTCAGGGCTACATAGAGAGACCCTGTCTCACAAACAAAATAACAAAGCCAGCCTGAGACCCTATTGCAAAGATGGGGGGGGTAGCATAATGACTCAGAAAAATCCTTCTCTGTCCTAAAGTATAAAAACTCACATTACTTGGGGGGCTGGAGAGATGGCCCAGTGGTTAAGAGCGCTGTCTGCTCTTCCAAAGGTATCCAGGTTCAATTCCCAGCACCTACATGGCTGCTCACAACTGTCTGTAACGCCAATTCCAAGGGATCTGACACCTTCACACTAATGCACATAAAATAAAAATTAAATAAATTATTTTTTTAAAAACTCACATTACTGTCTCACTTTACACTTTACACACAAGACCAGCCACTATATCAGTTAACAACTTTACATCTAACAATATATGAATATAATAGTTTGGATTGATTTCTTCAAAGGTGAAAGAAAAGGTTACCATCAAGATGATACCGTTTCTCTCTTGGCCACACCTAACTCCAGTACAACAGACTTCCAAATGAGCCTCAGAGTCTTCGAGACTTCTGAGAGGCTGAGGTCAGCCCATCTAGCTCTATTTATACCACTGATTTTTCAGGTAAAGGCTTAAAAATAGAACACAGGTGGGGTGGTGGCGGTGCTCACCTTTAATCCCAGCAAAGCAGAAAGCAGAGGCAGATAGATCTCTGTAAATTCAAGGCCAGCCTGGTCTATATATTGAGTCCAGAACAGCTAGGGCTACACAGAGAAACCCTATCTCAAAAAAACAAAACAGTGCTCTTGTCAATAATTTATTTCCACATCGCTTCCCTTTTTTGACACCCCCCCCCCCAAAAAAAAATCAATTTACTATTCTGCCAGGTCCCAATTTAAGTAAGTAACAGTTAAAGACAGGAGAAGTTAATCAATGTGGTAGGGCTGGTGAGGAGGCTTAGTGATTTAAGGCACTTGCTGCCAAATCTGAGTTCAATCCTCAAAACCCACAGCATAGGACTGAACTGACTCCTAAAGTTGTCCTCCAATTTCCACCCACACCCTGTGGTAAACATAACTACATCAAATAAATGTGCCCTTCAAGTACTAAAACAGTAAAGCATAGCACTGTGAGACCTTGAATTAAATTCCCAGCACATACATAAGACAGTTCCTATCACCCAGATGCCTGATACCCGGTGCTATCTACATCAGAAGACAAACCAGATGAATCTACCAGTCTATGTCAGAGACACCAGGCCAGACACACTTGATTTTATTGTTTCGGATTATCAGCCACCCATCAAAGCAATGATTCCATCTTACTTTGTAAAGATGCTTTTTTTTTTTTTTCACAAAAATTATGTATGCCTGTTCCTAGGCTACATCTTTAATCTATGGATTTATATGCAGCTGACAAGTTTCTGACTGAAAAAAAAAATCATGATTTCAATGACAGGTTTATGTAGCTTTCAGAGTAGTTCAAATGATCTTTTTATTTCATTTCTCAATATTTAAACTCTTGTCCCTAACAAAAGCCAACAAAATGGGATCTAGCCAGGAATGGGGCACACACCTAATCCCTTAATTTGGGAGGCAGAGGCAGGCACATCTCTGTAAATCTGAGGTCAGCCTGGTCTACATAGAGAACTCCAGGGCAGCGAGGGTTACCTAGAGTTCTACACTGTCTTAGGGGTGATGGTGGATAGGGAAATTCAAAGAAAAAAAAAAAAAAAAAAGGAGATTCATCCCACAGTGACAGGGTAGTGGACTCTGTTCTGCATTTGAGAGGGGAAAAAAGGCAGAAGAATTATTCTAAGCCCAAAGCCAACCTAAACTTCAAAAAGTTCTAGGCTAGCCTCATGCTGATACATAAAAAACAAAACAAAAGTCTCTGCAGTGCAATAGCATACCTTTTAATCCCAGCCCTCAGGTGGCTAAGGTAGGCAGATCGCTCAGAGTTTGAAGCCAGCCAGGTCTACTTAGGGAGTTCTAAGACAAACAAGGCTATATAGTGAAACCCTGTTTCAAAACAAAAATAAAAATTATATAATATAAAAAAAATAATAATAATAATGTTCAAGGCTAGCCTGGTCTAAAGTTCCAGGACAGCTGCAGCTTCACAGAGAAACCCTGTCTTGAAAAACAAAAAGAAAACAACAAAAAAGCAAAACAAAAAAGATCCCCCAGTTTGGTTCAGACCCTCTGACCTCCATGAGCCTTGTGTACCCACAAGCACACATCTATACACACACTCATATATTTTTAAAATAATTTTTTATGTGCGCTCGCATTTTGCCTGTATGCATGTCTTCAGGAGAATGTTGGATTCCCTGGAACTGGAATTGCTTAAGTTGTGAGCAGCCATGTGGCTGCTGGGAATTGAAGCCCCAATCTTCTGGAAGAGCAGCCAGTGCTCTCAACCACTGAGCCATCTTTCTAGCCCCTGCAGGCCCATAATTAAAAATAATAAAAATACATTATTTTGGGCTGGAGAGATGGTTTCTGCAGTTAAAAGCTGCTCTTCCAGAGGATTGGGGTTCAATTCCTAGAACCCACAACCACCTTTTAACCCCAGTTCCAGGGGATTTGAAGCCTGCTTCAGGTTTTTTGTAGGCCCACCCGTGACATACATGCAGGCAAAACTCCCACACACAGAAAGTAGAAAGAAATAATAATTAAAAAAAAAAAAATGCGGGCACACACAAGAGGAAAAAAAAAAACCCACTTCAAGAAATGTTCTTTTATAGACAAGAATTAAGTCATAATGGCAAATTCCCCCATTTAGTTCTATAGAAGGTAAAAGTTCCAGGAACCCAAGTAAACGAATAGGTTTCCCTGGAGGCCTAAGTGAGACTGACCACTGAGGGACAAGCTGAACCCTCTGACTAATCATCTGTCCCCATCCACTTATACAAATCATAAACATACATCTTCCCCATTTCCCCTTCTCCTTGTAAACTTATTTGCACAGAAGCTCTGCTATGAAGCAACCGTCATACTTAAAAAAAAAAAAAACATTAAGCAGGATCAAGAAAGCCATTGATTCCATAAAGATCCCAAGTACTCTTGGCAGCTTTCTACACTGAATCTCCCTGCATCGATTGTACTGAATGGTGATCACTTCTGGTGATAACTCAGTTTGATTCTTTATGATCTCCAACTTGGGGCGGCAGGGGGAGGAGGGTCCAGAAGACAGTCCTACAAAGCAGAATCAAGATCAATGGGGTCAACTGTAGTCGACTGCTGGTTGACAAATAAATGTTACAGGGAAAAAGTGTAATGAAAGATCTCTCAGGCCATACGTCTCGCAAGGCCCAAGCCTGCCCAGAATGCCAGAGAAAATGAAACCAAATCAGATTAAAATGGACATTTCAAAACAAGAGACGCAGCATCGAACGCACAGCTGCCATTTCCCGGCCACTTCCTGCGGGAGGCTGGGGGAGGGGCAGTTTGTGTACAGATGGAGGTGGTGGAAGCTATCCCCCCCCACTCTCCCGAAGGATACAAATCCCCCACTCCAATAAGCTCCACAAAGGATGCCTACTATTGGCAATGACTTCTGGAAGTCGGGAACGCTGGGAAAGAAAGGGATGGTGCGAGAGCATCGTTTCTGCTACGGAAACGGGGATCCCTTTTAGAGAGGATTTCCTTGGAAAGGAATCCCTCTTGATTCGTCCCCTCAGTTCTCGGCTTGAAGCAAAAACCCAGACGCCTACTATGAGTCCTACCACCCTCCACCTCCAGAGCAGGGGATTCTCCCGGGGGGCCCCAAGCCGAGCCTGCACTGTGCCCCGCCAGGCCTTTCCACCGCGGAGTCACCTTCCGACCCCTGGAAATCCCTCGCCCTCCATTCAACGCGGCCCACACCCCGCTCCGCACAAACCTCGGGTTCAACCCTCCCAGGGAACCCCGCAGCCAGTCCCTGCTCGCGCGCAGCCCCGCCGCCCGGGAGGTGGAGCCCCGCCCGGGGATCCCGGCGCGAGGGGACCGCTCTCCGGCAGCGGAGGCCCGCCGGCCGCGGGGAGCCAGCCCCGCCGGCCGGGAGCCGCCGCCGCCCCAGGGGCGCTCCCCACGACGGCGCTCCCACGACGCCGGGACGGCGCTCCGGCCCCGGGCCACAGACCCTACAGACCTGAGGCGACGGCGGGGTCGGGGGCGCTTCTCCCCGGGGCACGGGCAGGTCACATGGCCGGGCTCCGGGCGCCGGCCGGGGAGGAGACGAGCGCGGAGAGAAGGGTGCGGGGTGCGGGGACCGGGGGAAGGGGGTCGCGGCTTAACCGCGGGGCCTGAGCGGAGCCAACATGGCCGGCGGGGGAGGAGTGAGAGCAGCCCGAGAGGGCGGGGCCGCCGCGGCCGGAGGAGCCGCCCACCGAGGCGTCGGCGCCCGAGTCCTAGTGCCCGACCCGTCGCTCCAGACCCGGATCTGGGTCCTAGCGCCGCTCAGAGTACCACACCGCAGGTCCCTGCGTCACCGTCACCGGCATCTCTCTGAGGGCTTGTAGTTTTGCTTCACCCCGGTCAAACTGAAAGGCGAGCCATATCCCAGGGTTAGCCTAAAAGACTAGAGCACATTTCTAGGACCAAAGGCAGATGATGCTCTCTTAACTGTGAGGGGACAGGAGACGCCTGGAAGATAATTTCGGGGATGTTTATTTCCTCAGCGGGGTGGTGAGAAAGAGGAAGTTGATAGTTAGGGAGCCATTTATACCAGGTAAAGGCATGCTGAGAAGGGCAAGTCCACTCACCTATTTCCTGTAGGGACAACCCGGTCCTGCCTGGATCACTACTTTCCTGGTGACATCTGCAGGGCCTTGGACATCGGAGAGATTCCTGCACATGGGCAAAGGAGATTCAGCTCTGGCTCAGCTCCTTACAGTCAAGACCCGACTCTAGCCTAAATGTGGCAAAAGGGTAGAAGATAAAACTAGCCAACAAGTAAAATGTCCCAAACGTTGAATTTGCTGTTCCCATACCTGTTCAAACAAGGCTACATAGCTGTGTTCTCTGGGGAACTGCAATGTAAAATCTCGTAAAGAATTAAGAGTTTGGCTTTCACCTAAATGTGTATTGTAGAGACACATTTGGGAAGATGGCAAACAGTGTCATATGAAGTTACAGCTTACTGATCTTTTAAAATTCCAACTTCTCATTTCCTGAAGAAATTAAGACCCACAGAGGCTCACTGACTTGTTCAAGGTCATACATTAGAAATATGACTAGAAAATAAACACCATACCCTTTCCTTACATTTCAGACGTTTCTGGTTTCATAATTCCCATTCGTTTCAATGAAATGTAACTCTACAATGCAAACAATTGCATAAACGATGCAAAGCTAAGTCTGAACACCTAGGAAGACCAACAGAAAAACCATGGTGATGCTGGCTGTTGGGACATATCAGCAAATTCCTTTCGTCTTGGAGGATGCCAAGAGATTGGAAAGCTGGGTGTAAACAGAGTATGGTAGAGTCAAATCCAGCAGTCAAATTGGATTTCCTTACTTCAGAGGGATTTTGAGTGTGGGAGACATACCCCACCCATCATTCCAAGTAGTTCAGACAGGCTTCAAAAGAAAGATCTCTATGGAAAAGCCAACGTGTGGGACAGCAGAAGCCAAGGGGTTCCTCACCCTCAACTGAGGTAAGTAGATTATCAAAGGGAAGGAGGAGACAGGTAAAAACAACTTTTCTCTTCCCTGTTAAAATGGATTTCTAATTTCAACACAGTGCGTTTCCTCCACTGAAGAGGCAGAGATGGGAGGGTCACCGCGAGGGCAAGGCCAAGGCCGGCTCGCTCCACATACCGAGTTCCAGGCTAACCACGGCTACACGGCGAAACTTTGTCTAGAAAAAACAAAAGGACATTTATAGGTCGTCTGGCGGGGGAGGAGGATACACCTCACGATTCTAACAGCTCACTAACCTCAAAGCCCTAAGCAGAGGCCAATCTCAAGGGACAAGGAGTTCTCCCTTCCGGAGAAAGGAGAAGTTAACTTAAGCTAAGGAATGTCTAACTCCCAAATTAAAATAAATTAAAAAAAAAAAAAAAAAGGCTAGGTTGGACCTGGCACCGGAGGGCAGAAAGGGGAGGAGGCAGGTGTAGAGAAAAGCTCTTATCTCTTACGCCGCCCAAGGAGCAGATAAATCACCCTACCTCCCAACCAGGGGGTAACCGGTAGGAGCCAGGGCAGGCAGGGGAGGAGCCTGCGCCAGTCAGACGTCCCCGACCACGCCCCTTTGCTTCACTACCACACACCCACACACACCCACGGCCGACTCCGGAAGAGCCGGTTACTCCTGTGCCCCACTATCCCCACCCCTTCCGAGCCCCAGGCCTAGTCTCCCGGCCAACTCTAGGACCTGACCCAGCAGCCCTGAGCCCGCAGAGAAAGGTGTAGAGGAGAAGACCACTTGGGATTAAAAGAGAAAAACAGGGCACAATGCATTTCCCCCATTTGGTCCAGAAGGGCTGCGATCATTTTTATCCATTTACTCTGGGGTCTTCCCTGCTCTGTGAAAGAGAAGGTTGGGCTGGAAAACACCCCAAAAGTAAGTGGTTAGTTTTTGCCAGGTGCCGCGTCCTCATAGCACTTGTGACCCCCCCACCCCGTGCCAAATCTGGACAACAGAGGGCAGACTGATCCCATATGTCCCCAAACATTGCTCAATCCCATAAAATGTGGCTAGTTATCCAACAAGCCTCCCTTCAAAATGCTACTAAAAAGAGAAAGGGGCACACGGTTATTTTATCAGCAACTTGTGAGAGGAATATCTGGGGGAATAGACTGAACTTCCCTCAAAACAAGCCAGAGGATGAGAAGTGAAGGGGGGAGGTGAGCACCTGTTCCCCCTTTCTCAAACTCCATGTCCCTGCCATACCTCCTTGACTCTGGGTCAGCTGCCATAGTTCCAGCCACTCTGGAGGCAAATGGCTGGGGCTTGGAGAGCTATCCTAGCTACACCCTGGTTGTGCCTTCCCTTTCCCCTTCCAGACACTCATGGCATCCAACCCCAGCACCACAGGCTCACCAACACGGACACACCGTGCCTTCCCAGAACCCTTAGTTTTGACTCAATAGTGTAAGACAAACCCTGACAGCCATTCTCTTAATTCTGGATGCAGGGGCCCCAGACGCTCAGCAGAGGTAGTATTCCCTATTAAAGGGAGCGTAACTGTAAAGACCTCCCGCTCACTCACTGGACAGATCATACCGTAGCCACGGCTCTCGGTCCTGTAACTACTCCCATTGGTCCCTTTCGCCACTCAGGTTCGGGCAAAACAACCTCGATGTATTTCGGTAAGGTTAGATTACCTCACAACACACCGAAAAGACTATAACCCCTCCCCTTCTCCAAGCGGGCCTGTGGCCGTCAGATTTAGTCTTGTTTCCAAATTTCCCAAAGGACAAGCTGCGCGGTAGGCATATAAGACAGCGGAGGCTCGTTCTCTCCTGGGGTGGTCTGAAATGGAAAAGGTCGGGCTTCCTCTGCCTTACCCAGCACCCCAAATCCCTTAGGAACATAGCCCCGGTCCTTCCTACCGCAACAGCCGCTAAAGGCGAGGACCCCAAGGTTCCCGCAGCGCGACAGTCCCCCGCGCCTGGCCTAGGGGAGGGGCCGATCCCAAGCCGGGCCCAGGGCCCTTCCCACCGAGGCTCGGTGGGCGGTGCTGGCCGACCCCAAACTCGGACGCCGAAGGTCCGGGTGGGACTTAATTGAACTTGAAGGGTGACCGAAGCCCGGCGGACAGAGGCCGGAGTGTGCGCCGTCCCTCCCGCCCTCACGACGGGGACAGTGGCTGGGTGGCGGTTACTCCCCCTCCCACTGGGGTTAGGATGGCGTGGGAAAGCACTGGCTCCAGAGACGAGGCGGCAAGACCCAGACCGAGGAGGGCGCGGGGGAGGGGAGCCCCCCGGCCGGAACAGGCGGGGTTCCCGGGAGAGGATGGCGGAGAGGCGTGAGAAGCGTCCGGATGCCCGCTCGCAGAGGACAGGGGCGGACCGGGCGAGGAGACGCTGCGGGGAGCGAGGAAGGGCGGCCGGCGCAGGGAAGGTCAGACCCTGGATCTCAGGGGAAGGGGGCGGCTGCGGGGTCGCTCCGCCCGCCCGTCCCGGCCGCAGGGCCTGGAGGGGATGCCGAGCCTCACCTGAAGCAGGGCCGGGCGGCGGCGGCGGCGGCGGCGCAGGTGGCCAAGCCGGGCGGCGGCGGCGCCTCCTCCCCCAGCCCGAGGCCGGCGGCGGTGGAGGGGGAGGTGGCGCTTAAAGGGGCAGGAGCCGCGCGGGTGAGGACGAGCGCTCGGGGACCGCGGTGGCGGTGGATCCGCTGGGGGAGGGGAGAGCGGGTGGCGTCTCCTAGGGGCCAGAACCAGGAAGGATCCCGGACGCAGAAAAGACGGAAACTTCTACGACGTAGTTGGGGACGTTGGTGGATTGCACTGCAGAGTACCTGAAGAGCTCTCCCTGCCGGCACTCAAGACTTTCACAAAGGAGGCTAGGGAGACAGTGGGAGCCACGGAGCTTCAAGGAGGCCTAGGGGAGCAGGAGAGGAAACTCAAGGCCGAGCATGTTGGGACCGTGCACAGCAAGCAACTTGCTAGGTAAACACGCGTTCTCCCGGCCCTCTCTACTAGAGCTGTGGAGATCTGGAATCAGGAAATCACAAAGGCAAGAAGCTCCCTGTCCTCCAACCCCCTGGGTATTGTGGAGGCCATCCAAACAGCGTAGTGAGGCTGATGCAGGTCTGTGAGAATCGGCTTTATTCATAGCTCAGTTTGGCCGCGGCCCCCACCACCGCCACCCCTTGCAGCAACCTCTGGGGCAACAGGAAGCAGCTGCTAATGCTGCCCTGACCTGGTGTTGGGTTAGGGTCAGCGAGGAGGAAAGACTGGGTTTCAAAGGCTGGAGAGAAACTAGGTGGAGGAGACGGATCTCCGACAGGACCAAGAGTAATGAAGACTGTAAAATACTTCTTGAATCTCAGCCGCTTAAATGGGGAGTAAGGGGCGCCCCACGGGTGAGGAAGGAAGCCCTAACATGAGACACAGCCCCAGGCTCTTCCTTAGAGCTGGAACTTGCCAATGCGAGGGTCTCATGTTCAGCCCCTCACCAGCCAAGCCCTGTGTCCCCCACACTCCATTTCCTCTCCTTCACCCCCCAAAAGAGCAAAGGTTAGGCCCCACCCCTGCTGAGTCAGCCAGGGAGGGAGCTAGGCATCCCTCAGGCCTTTCCCAGGGACGGCTATCACACTTACCCATGTCAGGCTGGCAGGACTCCAGATTAGGACCTAGCGTCTTACTGTCCTTGGGCCTCGCTTCACTTGAAGGCTACTGTTAGATCCTCCCCAACTGTGAGCTGGGAACTCGAAAACAAAACAAAAAAAAAACAAAAAACAAAAAAAAAAACAAAAAAGCTAATGTATGCTTCCTGCGAACCACACAGCCTGAACTGCTGTAGGGTGATGTCCCTGTATGACAGACTAGGGCGGGAGGGAGGAGGGAAGGGCGGGGCTTTCACTGGGTGGAGAGAGGGAGGAGGCAAGGACAAGGCCGACCCAGGAGAAATATGGAGGAAGGTTAGAACTATCTTAATTCTTCAGGTCTGTGGTAAAAGAGGACAATAAGGCATAATGAAGTAGAGTTGCAACTAACGAGAGGGGAAAGGTTCTCGATAAATGCTAGAATACGTGCATACCGGGATGCAAATGACCTTTAGAATATCAGTTTGCAAGACTGTATTTGGGTGACAAAGCAGAAAGAGGTGACCCGTACTCTTGGGCCTTCAGCGTTTTATCTACTCCAGTCAGGATCTGGAGGTGTCCCCACCCCCATAACAGCATTTCCCACAATCCAAGTCCGAGTGCAAACTACCAAGCACAGGCGACTCGGGGGCGCCACCTTCTGTCCAGATCCTGACGAGAGGGACTGGAACCAAGGACGTCATAGATGGAAGGAAGCTGAGGCCACTACTCCACCCCATGAGCCTCTCCCAGAGCCCTTCAGGTCACAGGGGCTCAGAACTGGGAGTTGAGCTGTCCCCATGGAGCTTCTGCCCTATGTGGACAACCTTGCGAGGTGGAGCTTTAGATGCAGGCTCCTCCCTGGGACAAAAGCTCCAGCTGATTTGTAAACAGTCATTAGATGACAGAAATACTTTCTAGCACATAGCCTGTAATAATTTCAAAATGGTGAGATTCCATTCTTGTAGTGTCAGATGCTGCCACAAGGGGCCACTAGCTGGGCCCAAACGCGTTGTAGGGTACAAAATACGCCCTAGTATAATGCACTAAGGTGCACATCTTAGCAAGAGAAACTACTCTTGTTCAATAGCCCCAACAGCAATAGTAAAAATTATCGCTGTAACACTGTTAAATCTTCCTAAATTTCCGTAAGGGATCTTAGCAGACCTCGTTATTTTCTTTTACTCTGCAGAAGCCTCAAATACAAACGTGCAAGTCTAGGCTTGTTCAAATATCTGGAGGCAGTGTATTAGGATGGAGTCCTAGAGAAGGCCCAGAAGACCCTCACTTGTAACAAATATTCAGCATATCCTGAAAAGTTAATTCCAGTCTTGGAATAAGCCAACCTATTTTCCCTGATATAACTCTTTAAAAAGCAACAATTACCCACATGGGACCCAAAAGTTTGAGACAGGGTTTCTCTGTGTAGCCCTGGCTGCCCTGGACTTGCTCTGTAGACCAGGCTGGCCTCGAACTCAGCAAGATCCACCTGCCTCAGCCTGAGTGCTGGGATCACAGATGAGCACTACTGCACCTGGCAGGACTCAAAACTTGCGTAGCTTCAGTTCTAGGGCATCTTACTGTTTCTGGCAAAATTTGTACACATTAAAAATGATCTTGCACCAGATTATTATGTGTGTGCCTTTAATCTCATTTGGGATGCAAAAGCAGGTTCCAAGTTGAAGGACAGTGTCATCTATAAAGGAGATACAGGACAGGCTAGCCAAGGCTACATAGTGACTCTTTTGTCTTAAAAAAAAAAAAAAGTTATCTTTTAACCAAAAACGATTCTACTACTTAGAGTAGAAATGGGCATTGTGGAGTTTACTTGTAATCTTGGCACTTAAAGCTGAAGCAGGATCATGGAGAACAGCCCAGGACTAAACAGCAAACTCAAAAACAAAGGGAAGCTGAAATACGTGGGGGGAAAAAAGCCACAGGAAACTACATATCACCCACAGAATTTCATCAATGAATGCATCTGTTTGATAATCCTGTTTCAAGCATATGCTAAATGTGGCCTCTCTCACCAGCATTGCAGGCTGTTTCAGAAGCAAGACAGACAAATGAGGGGCATATACTTTATTGAAAACGAAATACTCTTCAGAGAGAACATCACATCTTTCTGTGGTGCTACACAGAAAACTGAGCTGTCAGCAGAGACAAGGAAAGGACAGTACAGAGTGCTAAGTTTGGCAAGAGAAACCCCTCATGAGGCATGCTCTTCGGCGAGTTTGTCAGCTTTTGCCACAGCTTCTTCAATGGGTCCCACCATATAGAAGGCTTGTTCTGGGAGATGGTCATAGTCACCTATAGGGGGAAAATGCAGTTAGTAAGAAGTTGAGTTGTTTCAACTCTGCAGTACAAAAACCACCTCACTACCTGAAGCTACTGGTCAGACTGATGAATCCTTATAACGCAAGGAAACTTAAAATGAAATTTACTTTTTGTTTTTGGGACAGGGTTTCCTGGCTGTCCGGAAACTCAAGAACCCAGAGATGTACTTGGGTATACTGGGACTAACAGTGTGCACCACACCTGTACCCTTCCAAGTGTAATATAAGACAAGATGTAGACAAGAACACATAATTTGTGCTGCTATTGCAGAGAACACATGTAGTTCAGTTGCCAGCACCGCATGGTAGCTTACAACCACCTCTAATCCAGTGACCCGACATCTTCTGGCTGTTCCAGAGGGATCTAACCCCTCATGGGATCTTACATGTACATACATGCACATTTAAAATTTAAAACACACACACACACACACACACACACACACACACACACACACACACA